TCAACGCGAATCGAAGGAGATGATTTTTAGGGACCGTGATCAGAGCTGAAGTCAGTTGTACCCCTAAACTGCAAGCTAGATTCCAGGTTGGATGGAGAGGGGAGAGGCAGTTCAAATTCGCTTGAATTCGAATTCGACTCCCCTTAGCAGGTCAGAGGCAGCCCATTCTCTAAATCTTACTTGGCTTCAAGCAAATCTTGAATCCAGGATTAAGGCTCGATTCGGGCCTTAGATCAATGCTGCGATTTGGTAGGAGAACGCTGATGCGGAGGAGCAGCTGCAGCGCTACAAGGAGCGGAAGCCGAGAGCAAGTCCCCAGTCTCACTTCCAGTGAATCCAGGCATTTCGCCAGTAAACCCTTCGGGTGCCTTACCTCAGGTTTTTCCATATGGGGAAGACCCTGGGTACCCACTGCAGTGGTAATTCAGGACTGGGCCAGTGGTTCTCCATTGTTCAATTGTATAACCACTATGCGTATTTTATCAATTTTTGATTGTTTGGTTGCCCCTTAATATGTACATACATATATATAGAAATACTCCACCCAAAACCGGCTTTCTCCATGGTGGGTCCTCCAAAAATCAAGAGGATGTCTTGTTGATTCCATATCCACGGGGCAAGGTAGTTTGATCTTCAAAGCTGCCCATGCGGATCGAGCACTGTGCTCTCCATGAAGTGGTCATGGTGGAAGTGATTACCATTCCAACCACTCACATGGCAGTGGGACGAATTTGCGAGGGTTTTGTTTTCCAGGAACCTTTCAACAGGAGCCATGTTATCTCATTTGCTGAACGCATTGAATTGATTGGATTTTCTTGTTTAGTGTCAACCGGAAATCGGTATGACTGGCAGATGTTTCTTTGTTGGCACCTAGAGTCACAGCAGCTAGAGCAAATGCATACAGTATACCATGTGAATGGAATTGAGCCCAACTATACGACACATTGATACTGTACGTGAAAACAAATGGATTCAACTCACTTCCAATTCCACATGCATCTAGCAAGTTTCTGGAAAGAGAAGCCTGATAAGCTCGTCGCCCCCAAAAGCGCCTCTGCCTCCCTGCAAGTCTCAGATAGCTAAGATAAAGAATGTGTCAAGCGTAGCACACCTAGAATATCCAACAAGTCTCGTCCAACACCAAACGTTCAAGCTCTCAAACCTTGGAATTGTGATGTTTGTTTATAGCTGATAGGTGCAAAACTCTTGGCCTTTCCGACCGATAGGTGAAAGTGGGGTATCAAAAAAGGACACCCGCGCCCCTTGGGGTGGCTTTAAAGCGAGACAAAACGGTACCTTATCACCCAGTGGGCGGCAGAAGCATGTCAGGCTGCCCTTGCAGAGGCGCATGTGGGGGATCCGGGCGAGAAGGAAAGAGGCTTGGGTGCTCTCTTACACACGTTATGGCCTAAAGGAAACCAAAAGGGAAGCGCAAAACTCATCATTTTTTTGCACCCAGCTTTGCTTTCTTTCGTTCTAACAAAAGGTGTCCTTGAATCAAAGAGGAAAGCCGCCGAGTCTTTGTTTCGCACAAGCGTTGTTGACAGTTTACGAGTTGAGCTGCTTGAATGAGTCTGAATTCAGGTTCCCAAGTTTTTATCACATGCTGTGAAGGCACACCACCTTGAATTGACACGCCCCTCCAAATCAAGAGGGTTTATGAATCCTAGCCCTTTCCGTTGGGGCAGCTCTAAACAATTCCCATGGTTTGCCTGGGTAAATTCAAAAGCATGTAGTCTCTCTCGTGATTTCCGGTTCGGGGTGAGGTCTCTCTCTCTCTCTCGCACTCTCTTTTTGAGGAGACCCCGAAGAAGGGGTTGTGCTCCTTCAAAACAGCACGAAAGACGGCATCATGAGAGCCAACATAATTAGAACCGGATTGTTGGGGACTATAAACAAAATCACGTTCTCTCATGAGCCAAGAATGTTGTTTGTTGGCATCAGAAGGTGGATCTGGCACCATCAGCAACACCCCTCCCCTCCATTTGGGGGCAACACCACGGGAAATTCACACAAGAATCGGCGGGACACCACCAGATCGGTTCCCTAGGTGTTTCGGTTTTTAGTAGGTTTCGATGTCTATTCAACCCACTAAAAGTTAATCCTGTAGCAGGGGATCAGAAAACGGACAGCCCAGAATTGAATACCTTGTCGGATCGTACTTGTACTCCAGGCCTGATTCCTGGAATGATGACAGCTTTGTTTCTTTGGTAATTGTGGATGCTTAGGACGTCACCTGCTGGGTCCTATCAAAAGGACTTTCCTTTTGGTGGTGTGATGATGAACGGAGAAACAATCAGTAAGCTAGTTGTTTTTGTTCATGTTTTTGCTGCGTCTCTGGGCATCTTTCTTATCATGTATCTTGGTGGCCAGCCGTCCGGTTCCTTAGCTTTTTAGTTGCTTTCTAACCCACGAGAAAAGTGAGTCACTTTTCGCCGGGGGATCCGATCTGAGGGCAGCCCAGGTACGCGGCTGTGGTGGTCAAAACCGTTTTGGTTGATCCCATTTTGGTTGGTAGGTGAATTCACCACCCATTTTTGAACCTATTTTAGTGGTTGGATTGAATCGGATGTTTACTGGGGGCACGATTTGGATTTGACCCATGGCCATTGTTTTTTTTCAGCCGGGGCATCTCTTGGAGGCCTCTCCGGACGGCTTCGCCCAGCGCGCCGCCGAGTTCTTGCACGAGCGCCAGGCGATCCGCGGAGGGGGGGGGGTTGGGGGGCGATCCGGCGATGCGCCCGCCCGCCTGGTCTCGTGAAGTTGCTGGGTGCCTGGTTTCGTGAAGTTTGTAGTGTTGCTTAGAAGCACAAGCCATTGTCTACCCAGTTGCGCCAGTTGCATGGGTGCCTGTTTTGTTGGTGAACCAGTGCCTCTTGCCCTTGGCTGTGTCCTTGTTTTCTCTTTCGTTGCAGGCTTCCCTTTGACATCATGTCCATTGGGCAAGTAGGGCTTGGTACCCGAAAGTGCCCCGTGCAAAGAAACTTCCTTCCCCCCTGCAAAGGAACGTGCAAAGATGCTCAGTACCCAGTTCCAACTTCTTCCACGTCCAAAGTTTGTTGAATAAAGGGGACAAGGTCCCAGCCACGTGTGCCATGGTCAAAGACCGATTGCTTTCTTATGGCATCAACGGATGCTGATTAATCACTCACCAAGAGGGCTGGACAACCGTGGTCATTTGACGCCCTTGGAACAATTACAAGGAATCCTCTGAAGAAATCCACTTGAACTGGCTTCCTTCATGTCCTGGCAGTTTGGTCAAAACCGAACCATGGCCACAGCCCACAAAAGGAAACCTATTCCACTTTGGAGGCCGATCTCCAAGACCACCTAATCGGGGGTGGCGGGGGTGTTCTTCTCCCGGCACGCAACCCAACAGCTTTGACATCAACCTACAGAACGCGGGGGCAAGCGAAAGGCGGGGCAGAAGTTTGGCACCCCGGAACCAAGCCCATGGATGTTGCGAAGTCTCGTGTGATCCGAATGCACAAGATCTCTGGAACAATGGGACGGGAATGAATTTCCTTGTCCGATCCGAAGCAGGGGATCGCAGAAGGCCCATCAACCCATCCTGCTCTTTGTTGCTTTTATTTTGTTCAAGTTGTTGCTGGATGCTTATTCAGTTCAGTCGACTTCACCAAATACTGGCAGCTCGGCGTTCTAGCGTGGCCGCAGTGACAGGCTTCATGTCAGACGCACCAAAGTGATCTGACCCCCGATAGGGCCAAACCCTCACATAGAGGCCACAAGGAAGGGGATTCCCAGTTCAGCAGCACCCTTCAACTAAAGGGTCCTTCGTGGCACCCTTCAAGCCAAATCCTTTTTGTTCCCCATTTAGTTTTTGGAATCAATGCCAAAAGAGTTTGTCCCTTCTACACTTCGTCTCACTCGCGCTGCAACTGGGGATTGACCGGTGCCTTTGTCGCTTCCCAGGGGGGGATCTCAGCTGAGCTCATCGCTAGCTTGCGAGCTTCGGTGCGCGCATGAGGCCAGGCTTCGGTTGTCTCAATGAGACAGGGCAGTGGGTTTCCCTTGGAGTTCCCTATGCTCAAGAGAGCCCAAATGGCTGTGGTGGTCAAAACCAATGGTACCATTTTGGGGTAGGTGCACCACCCATTTTAGTCTATTTTGGTGGGGATTCGGACGCCCACTGGGGGTGACCCATGGCCAAATAAGCCTAAGGCCTTCGGGCTTGTTTGGGCCACTCCCCTCCCTCCCAGCCCCCATGATATGCAAACCCAAAAGGATATCAACCAGATATCACAAAAAAAATACCCTAAGTATGGTCAATTGGGGAGGGGCATGGGGGACTTACATTTCAATCACACGAGACAGGAGACAAACATTTTCCCAGGGCCATGAAAGCAAATATTTGTCCCTGGAACACAGAATAAGGCTGGCCCTGGAACACAGAATAAGGCTGGCGAGGGTAATTTGTTGTCCCTGGAACACAGAATAAGGCTGGCTCTCTAGGATTTCTGCCGGGGGTTTTGACACGCGCATCCTCTGACTAGTTCTATATATATATATATAGAGAGAGAGAGAATACACGGACAAGAATGTACATCAAGCTGGGATGCAGCTTCTGGTCCATGGTCTGTTGGAAGGCAATTTGGTTCTTATGGAGTCTGGGAAGCCCAGTTCGAACGGGTCCCCGCTGGCCTCGGGAAAAGGAAGCTATGGAGTTGCTTAATTATGGTGACACATTGTATATATAGAGATACTGTAAACATATATATATATATGTGTATGTATGTATGTATGTGATTGATATATTCCACATAATTAGAGTGGTTTTAGGGGTTGTACACTACTTTCTCATGACGGTACTGGTTCGGGGCAAGCCCTGGGCAACTGGTCATGAGCCTACTTCGGCATACACTGTACACACAGCGGCTGCATGCCATTGTGGTCTTGGGAGCACTTGGCCCCGGATTCGTGTCATGCGAGCTTGCTCAGTGTGATGCTCAAAACGACACGTCCATCCCGGGGTCCACCCAATTCAATTTCTTGATCCCTTCTTTTCCTTTGCAAGCTATCACTGAACGTATTCCGTCAGACACCTGCGGAGCTGAACCTTTCCATTGCAGAGCTGTCGGTTGGAGGCAGGGTCAACATGTCAGCTCCAGACACTAGATGGGCCGACGGAGCCACCCTGAAAGGGATTGCGACCTTTCTTTGATCCATCTGGCCAGGTTCTTGAATCCAAAGTAGACATCGATCCTGGAATCCATGTGTAGATGTATGTACACATACTACATGCACGTGCACCTTCATATAGACTCACTTCACATGTTGTTCTGTCATATGAATATTATCCTAATGATGTGTCTTGTAGGCAGTGATATACTTATATACTTATAGACATACATGTACACTCTACCCCGAGATGGACATGTTCAGCATCCATATGCCTTCTGCTTTCCTAAGCTGGCAGCAGGAGTTGTACATAGCCTTTCGGCCAATCAGCTCGGTGCAAAATGGGCGGCGAAATCTGCGGATTGCCTTTGGCTTTGCCCTGGCCTTTTGGCATGGGTTGTGGTTGAGCAGAAATGAATCAGCTGGTTTCACGTTAGTGGACCCTGTTCGGGTGCGACCCCTCGTAGTGGACTTTCTGTCAAAGAAGCCAGTTTGAGTGGTGAAAACCTGAATCCGGGTCAAAGGAAACTGGTGACAGTGTTACCTTGTTTGGGCGACTCCCCTTTTTTGGTTTCACAGCTTCACCGTTTTGGCGATCAAACCCGTCTTGCGGAGCCGGGTTCCTTCGTTTCGGGCAAACAAAGATCGATAGCCCTGACCCAGCTGCTCTCGGTGGGCACCACTGTTTTTTTTTGGATTTTCAGTTCGGAAGTTGGATCTGGTATGTGGAGGGAGGTACCACAAAATGGTATTGTTATTCTTGTTGGGCGCCTTTTTTTGTGTTGGCTCCAAACTAAACTGAAACCAAAGGGAAACCGCCGCTTAGGGGTGGGCTGTTGCCTATGTGGAGGTAGACCCTGTCACCTTCGGAGATTCTCACACCGCAACTTTGCTAGGCTGTGCTTCAGAAATCCGCGTGATGCTTGGGTTACGAAAGGTTTTGGCCCACTTTGATGTTTGCCAATTGCAATTCCAACAGCAGCACCTTTTTAGTGGTCTCCCACTTTAGGTCACATGCGTTTGGATAGGCTTGATCCGAAGTGGGCGCGTGATCTTGTTTGCTTGCAACCCACTCTTGCATTTCTGCATGATTTATGGCGAGCTTTGGGGGTAAAACAAGCTCGCCGGGCGTAAGCGAAAGCCACTTGAGCCAGAATCAAAAGCCGGGTAGATGAAGGTTAGTAAGGGGCAGTCCCAGCCGGAAATAGTTGCGGATATCCGCATTTCTATTTCTTTACATGGCCCATTTTTGTACCGGGTTTTGATTGCGACTCACTTGCAAGCCGGATGTCCGAGGCCAAGAACTACCTCTCCTTGGGGCTACACGATGAGGTGGAGGAGTCAGACGACGTGCCCTTCTCCGGCATGAAGCGCGGAAGCCCTGCTCGCTCCGGAAGGATAGGCTAGGGGGACATTCCTTCGTCTTAAGGTCGCGCTGCTCTTTTTCGGTCTCGGTCGAGTTTACGGGAGGGTGTCCCAAAACTGGTGGCCCGCAGCCGTCCGCTTAGCCTTTTAGCTTTTTGGTGTTTAGTTGTAGTTTCCATTTAATCCACTAAAAGTTAGACTTTTAGCCGGGGGATCTGAGGGCAGCCCAGTTTGGATTGTTTGACAGGGACACCAACCACCGGCCCATAGCTTGAGACAGGCCGGGGGGTGAAGCAGCAAGTGAAGCTGGGTGCAGTCGGGCAGGTTGTCAACATGAACCCCTTGTTGGATGATTTAAAGAAAAGTAGAAGGAAACCAAGCACCGGGAGGGGTCCCTTGTGAGAAGCTCCCACGGACTTAGATTCGATTCGGCTACTTGGAGGGGTTGATAGCTCGTGGGAAGGCCAGGTTGATTCAACAGGGTCTGCATCTTGACAAGGGCATGTGTTGCTGGACTTATGCGCGGTGTTCGTTGAACTGGTGCTTCGGCAGGCAGATTGACTTCTTGTCACTGCTTGGCTATTTATACAAACAACACATGTAAACTTAATATGGTTAGATCATCATTTCCCGTCGGCTTAGACTGGGGCGACCCCGTCGGGCTGTGTTTGTGGTCGTAAAGCAACAGTTTGTTCTGGCGTTCAAAACAAAGGAACGCTATATAGGCCCCCCAGCAGTGCCCTTTTACCCTTTGTTTGGGGAGGGTTCCCCTATATACCAAAATAGACTACAGAAAAGATACAGTACCCTTATTCTAACCTCTCTACTGGCGGGACAGTTTTGGGGTTGACAAAACCAAGGCGTCTTTGGTCGGTCGGCACTCCGTGTTTGGCCCCGCGCGGGCGAGCACGAGGCTGAAGCCTTACTTTCATCTCAAGAAGTCGGAGGTCTTGGATCAGGCGGGAAGCGCACATCGCCATGTCTTACTTCGGTTGAACCGAGCGAGCGCACCCGTTTGACCGTGTGGGACGGACGTTCCATACGATTTTGGGCTTCTTTAGCTTCCATTTACAGGCCATGCTGCTGGACAAGGTATGGTTAGGTATCGCAGCATATCGCAGCATGCGTCATCCATCAAACTGGCGCAGGACAAAGTCTCCATCCACCAAAGCTTGTCAGACGAGCCAAAGTCAAACTCTGGTATACAATTGCGTGAAGGCTCATGCTGGGCACCCCGCAGGAGCGCCACTTTCGGTCTTGATTGCCAAGGGTTTTGGAATCATTCCTTTGCTCGATTTCGGTCATTGCTTTTGACATGACCGAAGCAAAGTTTTGGCATGTAGCAAAGAGTGTAATTAGCTTTGTGCAGGGTGTCAAAACTAAAGACTAACTCTTGTTCTTTAGTGCAAGCGTACTCATGCCCGGAGTTGCCTAAATGTGGAATGTATTTTCGGTATGGGCACGGCGTGCCAAAGCAAGTAGAATTCTTCCGAGTGGTCATTCATATTGCTGGCTCAAGATGCTCCAGCCCTTCAATCACGCAGTGCGCCCATATATTACACCAACTTGCGTATGCAACGGCTTCGCTAGCTCATCGAGCATCTCTTAAGCGGTGTCCTTTCAAAGCTGTCCATCATGAGTGTTTCCTGCGCAGGGGTGTATCCCACCTCCGGGGGAGGGGGGATTGTGTTTGGTTTCCCTTTAAAACGGACCCGAAAAGGGTTAACATGCACACGTCACGCAGCCCCCCTCAGGATTTGAGACTTTGTCGTTTTCCTTCATACCGTGGTTGCGAAATCCATTTCGCACCTGAGAACCCTGGAATGAGTCGATTCCACTGTAAATACCAACACATGGCTTCCCACGGCTTCGAAGTGGTTCGAACGGATTTCGCAGCCATCCACGGTATGTATCTTGCGGTTTGCTAGTTCCAGTTTGAGGCTGGCGGCTGGTTGCGCGACCAAGCAAATCAGATGTCAAGGGCGACAGGGCATTCTTAGCATCGTGAGAAGACAAAGCACTTGGGCAGGCGTCAAACAAGGAATGTCGATTTACTTTCAGTTGTCAAACACGATTTGCATGTTTTTGTTTTTGCTTTACAGATTCCTACTTAGTGTTGACAGGAGTGACATCCCTCTTTTAGTTTTAATCTCAACATGTCGGTTCCAAGCAAGAAGGACCGCTCCAACTGGCGTATTGAATAGGACCGATGTGGGCAACATGAATCCGCGGCTCACTTCGACAGGTGAAGAAGATGGGCTTCGCCTCGGATTATCATCCGCAGCAGAAGGACAGAGTTCGCAAGAGCGGCTTGCGCTTGGGCACAGCGGCGGGGCCCGCAGCCACAGAAAAACGACGTGTTCGTCGAAGCGTCATAGAGGTGCGCAGAATCCAAGGGATTTGGGGAGAGGCCATAATCTGAAGGTCGCTTATCCGTTTGCATGATTGTTGCAGAATAAAACGATCACCCCTCAATGGCAACCAGTTTTCAAGGCTTACGAAAAAAGGGGACACCTTTCCATGAAAGCTTCTGTTACAGGACCCCCCTGGTCAGGTTCTGGGTTGACAGCTTGGGCTGGGCGCCTAAGCCGGCAGCTTTCCACGAAAGAACCACCCACACCCCAAACCAATAAATACCCCAATGGAAAAATGGGGCCTACATGTCTCGGTTATCCAAAGCAAGCCTACCTGACCTGGTTCGTCAATTCTCGCGGATTTTTTTTTATTGAGTTCCAAAGCTAATCACCTTTGTTGCCTCAGGGCAGGTTTGATAGCCCTTCTTTGATTGTTTGGGGTTGTGGAAACGGGTATCTACTTTGAAACGGTCTATACTGTGTTTTTGTTCAGCTTTGTTTTTCGGCTTGTGTAGTTTGGTCTGGATGAAGGACGGTGACCGGTTCAGGGACGGAGTCAGAACTCAAAGGCGTCTCAAAGGGTTTCAACGGGCTGTTTCGGACCCATTGTTCACACTGTCGAGTTCCTGCATGGTTTGAACCGTTCGGGTTATCACTTCACGCTGCAGTAAAGCGTAAAAACCTTAAACTGAGGGCTTTACAACCCTAGATCTAAACCGTAAACTGAGGGCTTGAGAGCAACTTAAGCCCTAAACCTAAACTGAAGGCTGAGGCTTCAATCCAAGTTAAACCTTCATCCCAAACCTCAACTAAAGAGGGTAGACCACGAGCCTGGACTCACCTCCCAGTGCGGCCCCATGATCCTCTTCCAACATGTGTGCCAGCTTCTGCCTACCTGTACATGTAAAAAGTGGAAAAGTAGAATATCAGCTAAACAGATGGCTTAAAGCCCTTGCCTTTGGCCACGTCAGTGTTTAGTATTTCGCTTTTCTTACTCCAATGGTGGTGATGGAAGACAGTCAAGCCTAGGTTGTGCAGTGAGCATTGAACCAGTTGGTGGCTTGCGCTTCCCGGAGTGCAAAGCCCAAGTTCTGCCACAAGGGTTCGACAGGAAGCTTGGACGGGGACTCGGACTCGAACGG